GAATGAACGTGAGTTACCATCTAGCCGTCTCTAAGGGGGGTTTATAGAAAGTGACCTTCGTTCTGACCCAGGTAGAGCTTGCAGGACAGACAGTGGTTGTGTCATAGAACAGTGTCGCCTTCACAGTGGAGCTCAGCAATCAGTTTTCACCCCCCCTCCAGGTGATTCTTAGGCATGCTCTAGAGCAACCCGTTTCAACCTGCTTCATCTCATGGCACACATAAACTAATTACTAAAATTCTGCGGCACACCAAAAAATATATTTTTTGCCAATATGACCAAAAGAAAGGTATACTTTTGATGCATTCACACCAGACAGCTGTTGAGTTGGCTGTTATCATTTTTTTATTTGACAATCTAAGGGAAAAGAGATCAGTGCCCCAACCAAATAGTCAGGTATTGCATCTTTTAAGAATTCTTGTGGTGCATCAATTGAAAACCACTGCCCTAGGGAAGGGAGGTGACAGTCACTCTGATGACAAAGAAATGAGTTGTTGTGGGAATAAGACAGAAACAAAGAAAGCGCACATTTGGCCTATTTATGTTCCAGTTATAAACAGGTATAACCATTACAGTAAAATGAAGACATTATAACCTTGAAATCTGCACATATTTGCTTAAAATTTTTTTCATCTCCCTATCATCAGAAGTAGTAGAACTTCTTAGCACATTTTCAGAACTTGCACACTCACTGCAAAGGGAAAAGAAAAGACACGACAAACTGTGGCCCTGGTGCAGGTGCAGGAGGCACTATCTGGGGCTAGGGAGCAAGGATGGGGAGAGGGTGGCTCATGGTCTGAGGCCACAGCATTGCCCCAGGTCTTGGCGAGGGAGTGTTGAGTGTGGCAGTGTTGTTGCTCCAGGTCACCATAATAACCCATGAATGCCCTATGCCTGCATTACAGCAGAAAACTGGTCCCAACTGGCCTCCCAGGTCCAGGCTCTCCCCACCCACCACAGTGAGGTGTTTTACAGGTTCCAGATCCTGGTTACACCAGGTGCCCTTGCCTTCCCCTCCCCTCGTCCTCTGCGCCCCGCAGCACCCTTTCCCTGGGTGCTCTTTTGCTCCAGTCTTGTGCTGGCCAGTGGATTAGAATGGATGTTCCCGTCCTCTGCTAGCTCAGCCTCCAGCTGTCGGTCCACTGGAGTGCAAATCCCTGTCCCTTCCCTTGCAGTCAGCTGAGTTCAACACACATTGTCTACCCGGGCAAGACATGCCAGGAGAATAAAACACAGCCTGTCCTTAGGGAGCAAGTTACAGTCCCTGGGAACTAGCCACCGCTATGTAATGTGCTAAGTGCCATGAGAGAGATTCCAGCCCACACTCAGTTCTCCTGGTCTGGCTGGCACTTCTTCGGTCTTAAATTACACAGGAATCCACTATTCTTTAAAAGGTATGTGCTGTTTCCTAAGAAGTTGGCAGATAGAGTAAGCCTTTGCCACTCCTTTGCAGCTTACAGAGAGCCAGGGACACACTGAGTGGCCACAAAGCATGACCATGGAGTGCTAGCTTGCTCAGTGACAAATGTTTCTGTGTCCCCAGGAGAGGAAGTGCTGATATTTGAAGGCTGCTCGGAGCTAATCAGGGTCTATGTAATTTAGAGTTCAGGATTTTTAGAAAGTTGGCTCACAATGAAAAATTGCCTCACATCTATGTTTAAGAAAAAAACATTTTAAAGCTCCACTTGAAACATTTGACGGGTTCAATCACTATCACTTATATACAAAAAGCTTCCACATTCTGGCAAATGCTACTCTCGTGTGTAAAAATGGCCAGAAGAGGCCGTGCTCAAACTTTAAATGTCATTAACGTGCTGCTTTTATGTTCCCTTGAGGACCCGGCACTGGGGCTCTTGGTTCCTAGGGGGAGCTGTGCAGTCACTTCTTTGAACATTTCCTTCAGACGTGAAAATGTCTCATGCAGAAGAGAGGAGTGTCCGTGTGGATGACACTCACCTGATATTTGGCAGGTCAGATGTGATGGAAGTGCTTTTATTAACCTGTGAGCTGTGGTTAGTGAAAAGACACAATCACACATTTCAAACCAAAAAAATGCCTTAAAAAGTTCATTGATTTGGACACCATGACATAAGCTACATTTTCTAATGTATTTTGTCATACACATCTAGCACTTAACAGTTGCTTGGTAAATATTTGACAACTGAATGAATGAAAAATAAGCCTTTTCCCAAAGTTGGTGCTTCACCCAACACAGTGTGGTCTGCAGAAGGAAGAGGGGGCTCAGAGAGAACCTTGTAGGGACGCCAGCACAGGGCTCTGTCTGGGTGCAGGTGGAGATCCTGGGGCACAGTCTTTGTGATATGGCTCCTAGGCAGGAGGAAGGCCCAGAATGGGGAACCCCCCCCCCATGTTCCTCCCCAGTGGTCCCTGACTCAACCACCCTGGGTCTTCCAGGACTCCCCTCTTATAAATGCAGGAAGGCACTCTCTGCTGGAGTAGAGAACAACCTTAGATTTTAGAACGATTTTTCAAATATTTTTTACCATGACCCATAGCAGGAAAACATTTTATTTTGTGAGCCAGGAAAAACACCAGCCAACATATAATTGAAACAAAAGTTGCACAATGTAGCAGTTACCCTTACTACCGGAATGGGGATGTGTGGGGACTTCTCAATTCTATTCTTGCCCACTCCTTTCCATTAAAGAAAATGTGACCCATTCCACTGATTTCACAATCCACTGATGGGTGAGACCAGCATTTTGAAAACAACGGCACAGTGATCCTCTGGAAGGATGGGCCCAGGCACTCCATCTCAGGACCCTGCAGCAAAGGAAGAGTGATTCTACCCCATGCTCACACCTAGGAACACTCAGATCACAGGAAAGTGTGATGCAATCCTTCTTTTCTAGAATCTGAACAAGAAAGCTCCAAGGAGAGGGATTTGCTTCTACATCTAAAACATTATACTATAAATAAAATATAGTAAGGTTCTTTACCATGACCGTCCATAGGGAAGAAGCCACTTCTGACCACCCAAACAGAAACTCTGAGCAGAACAACTGTTTTCAAATAACCTCTAAAAATCTCACTTATATACGGAATATAATGAACATAACAGTCTGAGGAATACAGTAGACCCAGACACATGGAAGTAGGGCACAGACTGACATCCCTCAGAAGAGGGGATGGGGGGTGGGGGGGTGGGAAGAGATAAACCACAGAACTTATATGCATGTATGCATGACCAATGGACATGGACAACTAAGCCGGGGACGGGGTGGAGGTGGGGTGGGGTGGGGGGTACCAATGGGGTAAAAAGTTAAAATATCTGTAACAAAAAAATAAATAAAAATTCATATAAAAATAAAAAATAAAAAATAAATAAATAAAAAAAATAAAATAAAATAAAATAAAATCTGCAGAACAGAGTTTAGGGATGCTGCCCCAAGTGGCTGCTGTCTGCTTCTTCCGCTAGTTGGGAGAAACGCATGGCCGAGGACAGACGTCACTGTTGATCCTGGGGAGGGCAGGGCCAGGGAGTTAGGACACTTCAAGGGGAACTGAAGGCATCACTATACTTGGCTAATCCAGTGACAAAGCAGAACTTTGCCAGCATGTTGAGCAACACTTGTTTATGGATTCAGTCAGCTGTAGTTTACAACGGAACAAATTGTGCCCTTCTGCCTCCAGGGGGCACCATTCATACAGAACACATCCTGAACAAGGACCTCTGGAAACAGGTTTATGTTTTAAACTGTAAAAAACAAAACAAAATTACAGAGTTGTTGGTCAGAAGGCCCAACATTCTCTCTCACCCTTGACCACATCCACTGACTCGTGTTTTTCACTAAGAGCAACTTCTCAGTGTGTGATTGGGTAAAGATCTTAAAGACTTCAAATATTCTTGCTGTTCTGATTTTGTAATAGTCAGGGCAGGCTAAACATTCGCTATATTAAGACCATGCATGTATCCCCAGACCTCGTTCTTTCCCTAGGTCTGGTTTTATAAATGCTGATCTGATTTATATGATGCATATTAAGTGGGAAATGTCTGACTCTGCATGACTTTGATCAACCTCAGGAAATGACAGCATAGCTAGTACAATAACTTGAAGATAACCACTGCTAATTTCATGACTGACAGATGCTGCTAAGTGAATTGCAAAATTATTATTGTTTTGTTTTTTTAAAAGGGATTATAAAGACTGGAGTTCCTACTCAGGACCCATCAGTTCCTATTTGGGAAATCTAAGACAGTTTCATCACTATTAAAACAGTGATGACAACACTTAGCCACCACACTGAGGTGAATAAGGCATATTAAAGCTCTTTATAAATATCCAGAAGCCAGGTCCTGCTGCAGCTTCCTGCCCTAGGGCTTTAGTGCCCAGGTTTGCTACCTCCTGGCCAATGACACAGGGAAAGCCCCATGGGCTAGAGAAGCGGCCTAGTACAGTTGCTTATGCACAGTAGTTCCACAGGAGGGCACTGTGCCTAAACTGCATGATTTGCTCTGAGCCAGGAGAGAGGTGGGACGCTGAACACTGAACTCAGCCCACAATTCCTTTCACTTGCTTCTAAAGATTTTTGCTGCTATAATTAGGCATTAAATAATTTATTGACTCAATGCTGTCATTATCCTGGGTTTGTTGTAGATTCACCATTACATTTATATACAAAACATAAAAACAAAATACACCTTTGATCTCAAAGGAAACCATTTTTATTGCAGCATCTCTCTGTATCTTATTAACTGTAAAATGTGCAATCATAGTTCCAAAGACTAGGAGAATGAAGACTTATAAAACCTCCAAAGAGCACATTTTGTGATGTAGGACTGCATGAGGCTAAAATGGATGTCCCTGAGGAGGTACATGAAAGAAAAACTAGAAAGATTGGTACACTTACTTTTTGTAACTTGGTTGGAAAAAAAAGAAAATAACGTTGACAAAGTTATTGGCTAACTTGCAAAATGTCAACCGGTTTTTCGAAATCTTCCTAATAGCATCAGTTTCCCCCTTTCAGTTCTTACTGTCCTACAGACCTGTTTTCTCTGAAGTCCCAGAACCGTGGAGGGAGGCGATGTGCTTGGCAGAGCTGCTGGCAGGCGTCGATAGGCTAGCGCTGGTCTCGGTGTAGCCAGCCCTGCCTCCTCCTGTGGTGCCCTCTGTGTTTTTGCTTTTACAGAAACTTCTCTGTGTGGACTGTCTCGCTCGCAGTAGTTTCCAGGCAGCGGCTCTATACTTCTTTGAAATGAGGTTGTAGAGGATTGGGTTAATGGATGCACTTAGATAGAAAAGTTGCAATGCAACAATGTTAAAGTACTGAGAGAAGTACATCATCTGAGAATCTTCCGTATTTATGTAAATAATTCTGCCAACGTGGAAAGGCAACCAGCAAACTATAAATGACAGAACCACCACCACTGCAAAACAAGACACAGGCACCAGGATTAGCTAAAGATCCAAAAACAAGTACAAGTCCCCAAGAAACCATCAGAAGTAATACATCACAGCAAAACAAACTCCCCAGCTCATCTATATTTGCTTTAAAGCCGCATACGTGGCTCATATATGTGTTATCGAGACTGGACAAAGAGCAGAAGGAGCAATTTCTACTAACAAGTTGGCAGGCTTCCTTCCATACAGACGCTGAGCCGTGTTCTCTTCTTCCCTTTGAAAAGAATTCTGCCACAAGTCTGCAGAATCTTTTATTTTGGGGGTATGGGCATGTTTCACTTAACCTTTAGTAATCATTAAGTAAAGAAATTTTAGCTTAGTGTGATCTAGCCTGACTTCTCAAGGATACTGTGAGAAACCACATCTACGGCATCGAATGAGGACAGGCAGTTGCCTTAAGAACCTCCAATTACCTGGCCTGGATCAGCCCGACTCAAAGCATTGCTGTGTATGGGGCCCGCGTATCCTACCCTCAGGGACCCCCTGGAACGTAGCTAGAGGAGGCTCCAAGGGCTGGGAGACTAGCGGGTTGGTGTGTTTGGAATAGAGATGGCGCCACTTACGCAGGACACGGACAGTCTGCCGGTGGCCCTTTTCCCGCCCCGAGGCCGCGGGGCCTCGCAGCGGCCCCTGGCTCCTCCACAGCTCCCGCCCGATGAGCCCGTAGAGGACGCTGAGGCACAGGAAGGGCAGAAAGAAGTAGGCGGTGGTGACCCACAGCATAACACGCAGCGCGCCCAGCTGCGAGGGACTCGGCCGGCACTCGCGGCTGAACAGCGCCGCGGTCGCAGCCGCCTCGCGCCCCGAGGGCGGGGACAGAGTTGGCTCCCGCAAGGACCCGAGGGGCGTCGGCATCGGTGGTGACGAGGCGCGGGGCGAGTGGGTGAGCTGCGCGGTGCCGTTAAGGTCCGGGAGCGCGTCGAAGCGGGGGTCCTGCTCCACGCCCACGAGGAAGAAGAAGGGGCCAGCGGAGAGCAGAGCCACCGCCCAGAGCGCGGCGATGAGCGCGCGGACACGGGACCGCGTGATGAGAACACGGGCGCGGAGCGGGCGACAGATGGCCAGGTAGCGCTCGATGCTGAGCGCCGTCATGTGCAGCAGCGTGGCGTAGGTGCAGCCCTCGCCCACGTAGAGCGAGAGGCGACAGAGAAGCGGCCCGAACACCCAGGGCCGTGAGCGCCAGAGGCGGTAGAGGTCGAAGGGCAGCCCGAGCAGGATGAGCAGGTCCGACACGGCCATGCTACCCAGGTACAAGTTGGTGGTGGTCCGCATGTCCCGGTAGCGCCCAATCAGCAGCACCGTCACTATGTTGCCGCTCACCCCGACGGCGAACAGACCCAGGCACACGGTGGTCACCGGCACCAGCGTCCCCAGGGGGAAGGGTGAGCAGCGGTGCTCATCGCATGGCAGCAGCGCAGCCCACGGCGGCTCCCGCGCGCCCTCCGCGCCGTCGCTGCTGTTCCAGGGGCTGCCCATGGGCGTGACGCAAGGGACAGACGCACGGACACGGCCGGGTCCCTCGGCGCCACCGCACCTCTAGGGTGGGCCGGGAGCCTAGCGCATGGCTTTGCTGGCGGAGCGCTTCCTTTGGCAGCCCACGCGCGGGCCCAGCCCTTGCCCACTCTGCAAGAGTCCAGGCAGGACTGACCGAGCCGTGCCGCGCGGGAACGCAGCTCTGCAGAGTCCTCTTGGAGACGCTACCCAGAGGGTAGCGCGCAGTCTCCGCCCCCGGCTACCGCCCACCCCATTCCGGCACCCTTGTCCAGGCGAGTCTTTTTCCAGGGTGCTTCCCTCTCCACTAACTGGAACATGGGGACGGCGGCAGCGCACCAGCCCCGCCCCCTCCCCGGGAGCGATTTCTGAACCTCTGTGAGGTCGGTTACTGCGCCCAGCGAGCGCGACCCTTTTGTTCGTCTGGTACCGTAAGGACCTTCAGAGGGACGTCTGCCGCTGGCTGCTTCCTGATGGTTAGGGAAGGCTGCCCAATCCTAAAGGGTCGCAGAGGAGTTTAGACCAGAATCCCGAGTTCCTGCCCGGTTCTGGTTATGGCTCTACAACCGAATGATTTTGGAACAGCTTAGTTCTCCTCTTCTGTAAATTCTCCAGTGGCGGTGGGGGAGCTGAACAAATAATTTCAAGGCTTACGTATTTACTTGTATATCTGAGTACTTAAACATGTGCTGTATTCTTCCTATATACAAAATATTTTTTAAACTTAAAAAGCAGAGTATTTGCCAACACCAGAAAGAACTAAAACTCTGGGGGAAAGACTCAAACTGAGTCAATTCATGTGGTGTTAATGTCAATAGCTGACACTTAAGTGAGTACTCGGGATGTGTTTGGCCCTGTTCTTTTCATTTAATCATGTCCCTAAGAGCTCATTTTACCCGTGAGCAAAGTGGGAGATTCTTTTGAGATCACACAGGTAGCAAGACGCAGGACTGGGATTTCAACTCTGGTCAGCCTGATTCCAAAGCCTGCAGGTCTTGTGATGTCCCAGCAAACTGCCCTACTGTGCTCCCACAGTTCTAGCTTTGCAGGGATCTTGTCCTCTACCCCATCTCAGGCAGTGGCTCTTATGGACATCTCTTACACTTTATTATTGCAAGAATCCGGGAGCCGTCCTTCATCTCCTTTTCAGTCATACCAGTTTATGACTTCCACCACCTATTTTTCTAGCTCACTTTTTCTAATACTGCAACTCCTGCAATCCTTCAATTGCACTGGGACCTCCCATGGTTGCTCCTCCTCCCTTTTCCTTGTCCCTCACCTGCCTCAAGTCCTTACGTGACCTCATTTAAACTCCATGAGTGACTCAGGCAAACACCTTCAGCCCCTGTGCATTCTCTATTGTCATACCTGTCTCCTGGACAGGTACAACCACAGCCCTGGCTCAGCCTACTCCATACACACTTCCAAATAACTGTTGTTTCACTTGAAATTCGCACCTTCTAGAGTGGTGCCTAGTTTTTCCCGGCCATCCTCATACTTATCCTGTCTCAGTCTCCCACCCTCCAGACCACTCTTTTGTACCTCATCCTCTCTCCTCAATCCCCAAATCCTCACTCTCAGCTGGGACCTTGCACTCTGATTCTCAGGAACAATAGAATCAACGGGAAGAGAACTTCCACATACTCTCACACCACACCCACCCACCTCCCCTCATTTCCCCTGGACAGGTGAATAGGGTGGGTGGTACTTGAACCTGAAGTCAGTTCTGCCACTTCATTACTTCATTCACCTCTTCAAGGACATTACTCTCGCAATTCTCTCTCTCCTGTGTCATCATATTTTCTCCCTCTCCTGGTTTGTTTCTATGTTTTGAGCAAAACTCCTCAAAAGAGCCCTGACTGGTTAGGCTCAGCAGTTAGAGTGTTGGCCTGCGGACCAAAGAGTTACAGGTTCGATTCTGGTCAAGGGCACGGACCTCGGTGGCAGTTTGGTTCCCGGCCCTGGTCGGGTGGGGGCAACCAATCGATATCTCTCTCTCACACTGGTGTTTCTCTCTCTCTCCCCTTCCCTCCCACTCTGTCTGAAAATAAATGGAAAAGTATTCTTGGGGACTTCCGGTCAAGATGGAGGCATAGGTAAACGTGGTATCGCGTCCTCCCACAATCACATCAGAGTTACAACTAAACTACAGAACAACCATCATTCAAAACCGCCTGAAATCAAGCTGAACGGAAGTCCTACAACTACGGAATTAAAGCAGCAGCCACATCCAGACTGGTAGGAGGGGAGGAGGCACGATGGGCTGGTCCCACACCCACATGTAGCGGATAAAAATCAGGAGGACACCTCGGCTGGGAAGGTCCTCCCTGAGGACTGAGCGGTCCCCGTCCCACACCAGGTGCCCCGCTCAGGGTTCCAGTGCCAGGAAGAGAATCCCCATAACTTCTGGCTGGAAAAACCAGCAGGAATTGAGGCTCAGGGAGGCTGAAGCAGCTGGAGCCCCAGGCAGCTCCCTAAAGGGCCCGCGCACGGACTTATCGGACTCTCTCCCTCTAAGCTTGGAGGGGAGGCAGCTCGAGGGGCGCCAGAGACATACAGGGAAGAACTGGGCTGTTTGGCACTGGAGTGAGGGCTGGAGAGGGGGCTTTCTCCAGGACAAACGTGCTGTCAGAGGCCTTTGTTCCTTTGGTGAGCCCTTCCCTGGGGCAGCAGACAGTTGCCATACCTGGGACTCCAGCAACCTGGCTCACACTGGTAGCCCCGCCCTGGTGACTCCCTGAGGCCCCGCCCCACCCCACCCAACTTTCAAGCCCACCCAAGCTGTTGCCACTTGCTTAACCATAGGATTGCCCTGTCTTAGATCCTGCTTCAGGTTTTTCCTAAATTCTTTCAAATGAGCAGCATCTGGTCTCAGCTAGCCCCATACCGCTGGTTAAGTAATACACAGAAACAAACACAGGGAGGCGGCCAAAATGAGGAGACAAAGAAACAGATCCCAATGTTGTAACCCAGGAGAGTCATCCTCACTCAGACATCAAGTAATTTTGAATATTAGGAGCTTTATTACCTGCACAGGGACTGCAGCCAACCTACACAGAGGAGAACTGCAGCCCTGAGCTCAGGGGGAGGGTTGCTTATATAGGACAGAGGTTACTCAAGAGTTTAGCAGAGCAAGCAAGCTACGTGTACAGAAGCAGATATCAGCAGTTAGTAACTGCACAAGTTGTTTACTTTATATTTCTTCTTTTTTTTTTTTTTATCCTCACCCGAGGATATTTTTCCATTTTTGTACAAATAGAGTGGGAGGGAGAGAGAGGAAGGGAGAGAGAGAAAGAAACATCGATGTGAAGGGACACATCGAGTGGCTGCCACCCGCACGACCAACCAGGGCCGGGGACAAACTGCAACCGAAGTATGTGCCCTTAGCGGGAACCAAACCCGGGTCTCTCTGGACCGCAGGCCGACGCTCCAACCGCTGAGCCAAACTGGCCAGGGCTACTTTATATTTCTTAACATTTACTAGACACCAGCCTTGAATGCCTCATTGTCCCATCTGGCATCTCCTGATTAGTTAAGCTCATGGTCATGGCTGATGCATACCTTCCTCTTCAAGATTTTCTGCAAAAACAACTCGGGTTTAAGGAACCCAGGAGAGGTTCCTTCTTCTAGCAGATGGAGAATTACTGGGTTATAACATTCCCCACTGGTTTTACATACAGATCAAATCTTTGTTCTAATGGCAACCTTTGGTAATGAGAGGCCAGGACTAATAATTTGACAGATTGGACCATCTCTCTTATGAAATCTATTAATTTGTTTATCATTATAGGTCCACAGAAATAGTCCTAGAAATAGGAGTATGAGGGGGCCTGCTAGAGCAGAGAGAAGAGTAGTGAGCCAGGGGGACTAGTGACAAAGGCCTTCGAACTAGCTACTAGAGGCCTCTTCGCTTCTGGCCTGTTCTGCGAGGCGCTTCCTAAGAATCTGGGTACTCCCTCTGATGACTCCTATCTATTGGCATAAAAACAGGAAGCTTCCCTTAATGCTCGAAATGCTGTAAGGTGTCAGCGAGATAACTAGAGATGCACAGCCGAATTGTAAAGGAGCACTTTATTACATCGGCGGGCTGGGGGGGTGGCATTCCCCAAATCCTCAGCAACCTGCCTTCTTTGTTGCCTGCTTTTAAAGGCACAAACTACAGAAAAAAACTACATTCTCTTGGCGCCGCTTTTGGCACCGTTAAGGGGGGCCGATACAGAGAAGGGGGAGAGAGGAGCTTGTTTTGTCAGGGCAGCTATTAATCTCTTTTTTCTCATGGTTCCTCTGAATTCCCCAAGGCTATTATTAATGTTATAACCCAGTAATTCCCCATCTGCTAGAAGAAGGAACCTCTCCCGGGTTCCTTGAGACCAAGTTGTTTTTGCAAAAATTCTTGAAGAGATGGATCAGCCATGACCATGAGCTTAACTAATCAGGAGATGCCAGACGGGACGCTGAGGCATTCAAGGCTAGAGTTTAGTAAATGTTAAAAAATATAAAACAAACAACTTGTGCAGTTACTAACTGCTGATATCTGCTTCTGTACACGCAGCTTGCTTGCTCTGCTAAACTCTTGAGTAACCCCTGTCCTATATAAGCAACCCTCCCCCTGAGCTCGGGGCTGCAGTTCTCCTCTGTGTAGGTTGGCTGCAGTCCCTGCGCAGGTAATAAAGCTCCTAATATTCAAAATTACTTGATGTCTGAGTGAGGATGACTCTCCTGGGTTACAACATTTGGAGGCCCCAGCGAGATCAACCGCGAGGTCCCCCTTTTCTGTGGGGTCGACCTCCTCAGACTACGGAGGGCTGCCTCCTCGCCCTCTGCACCTACATTTGTTCTGGCTTTTGATTCGGCTAATTCGGACTAAGACTTCTGCCTCAAGGATCTGGGTAAGGGATTTCCCCTTCCATCTGTTTTCTGTTTCGGTAGCTCCGGAGCGTTCTGGGATTGTTGCGGGCGGGACGCCGCTCAACCGCACTTCCCCCTCAGGGTCGGGACGCCGACTCCTGACCTGGGAAACCGGTGGGTTTCCATCTGTTCTGAAATTGGTACCAATCTGTTTTAATCTGGCACTTTCGGGTGCGTCTGGCACTTTCGGGTGCAGGAAGCCCGGTGGGTTTCCATCTGGCACTTTCGGGTGCGTCTGGCACTTTTGGGTGCAGGAGATCCGGTGGGTTTCCATCTGGCACTTTCGGGTGCATCTGGCACTTTCGGGTGCGTCTGGCATTTTCGGGTGCAGGAGACCCGGTGGGTTTCCATCTGGCACTTTCGGGTGCATCTGGCACTTTCGGGTGCAGGAAACCGGTGGGTTTCCATCTGGCACTTTCGGGTGCATCTGGCACTTTCGGGTGCGTCTGGCACTTTCGGGTGCAGGAAACCGGTGGGTTTCCATCTGGCACTTTTGGGTGCATCTGGCACTTTCGGGTGCAGGAAACCAGTGGGTTTCAATCTGGCACTTTCGGGTGCATCTGGCACTTTTGGGTGCATCTGGCACTTTCAGGTGCAGGAAACCGGTGGGTTTCCATCTGGCACTTTCGGGTGCATCTGGCACTTTCGGGTGCGTCTGGCACTTTCGGGTGCAGGAAACCGGTGGGTTTCCATCTGGCACTTTTGGGTGCATCTGGCACTTTCGGGTGCAGGAAACCAGTGGGTTTCAATCTGGCACTTTCGGGTGCATCTGGCACTTTTGGGTGCATCTGGCACTTTCAGGTGCAGGAAACCGGTGGGTTTCCATCTGGCACTTTCGGGTGCGTCTGGCACTTTCGGGTGCAGGAAACCGGTGGGTTTCCATCTGGCACTTTCGGGTGCGTCTGGCACTTTCGGGTGCAGGAAACCGGTGGGTTTCCATCTGGCACTTTCGGGTGCATCTGTTCTGAAATTAGTATTTTATGTTTTGACCGCGGTTGTCTGTCTATTTATGTTCCATGTTCTCTGCTGCTCTAACTGTTTTGCTTTCGGTTGGGACAAGGACCGTCAACGCCCCGTACCCCCCTTGAATGCATTCTTGCTAACTTTTCTGACTTTTCCAGGAGATCCCAAGGCTACAGAACACCAGCCGATCCTGGGGTCCTCCGGACCCTCTGTGAATTGGAGTGGCCAACATTCCAAGTTAATTAGCCATCTGAAGGGTCTTTTGACTTGAGTCTTTTGTTTGCTATGCGGTCCGTTATGTACGGGGTTCCCCACCCTGATCAAAGGTATACATTGATATTTGGATTAGAAATATCAGTGTCCAGAGGTTCAAATGAAAGGAAAAAAACAGTTTTGCTAACAATGCCTCCGCCTGCCCTGAAGGACAGTTAACTCCTCCCAGCCCCAGAGGAAATTCTATCTTGTCCTTCAGGACCCCTCTTGAGGATAGACTAAAATGTTAATTAACCTGAGTTTGCCTACTTTGGGTTCTTATTACAGAAAAGCTAGAAGATGAATTTGGATCTGTTAATGCTTTCAATGCCAGCCTGGGCTGCTCCTCTGCAGCAGGTTTGGTAACAGCTAATTTCCAACAGGCTTCTCTGAACTTTAGGGAATTAAATATAGGGATCCCAGGCACGGGTACAAAATGCTCTTGGAGAGTTAAAAAACACTCTGCCCCGCATAAACATATGTGTTAGGATATTGCTCCCCTTTCCTGCATCTTTTTATAAACCTGGGGTCAGGGGAAATGTTCCCATTCCTCTGACTATGGTACTATTGGGGGAAGGGCTTCCTTAGACACATTTCACCGTGTTCTCTTGTTAGGCCTATTGGCCCAATTGGCTGAATTAGCCAATAGATAGGAGTCATCAAAAAAAATATTCAGGTTCTTAGGAAGCACCTCGCAGGCCAGAAGCGAAGAGGCCTCTAATAGCAAATTCGAAGGCCTTTATAACTGGTCCCCCTGGCTCACTACTCTTCTCTAGCGGGCCCCCTCATACTCCTATTTCTAGGACTATTTCTGTAGACTTATAATGATAAACAAATTAATAGCTTTCATAAGAGAGAGGGTCCAATCTATCAAATTATTAGTCCTGGCATCTCATTACCAAAAGTTGCCATTAGATCAAAGATTTGATCTGTGCATAAAACCAGTGGGGAATGTTATAACCCAGTAATTCCCCATCTGCTAGAAGAAGGAACCTCTCCCGGGTTCCTTGAGACCAAGTTGTTTTTGCAAAAATTCTTGAAGAGATGGATCAGCCATGACCATGAGCTTAACTAATCAGGAGATGCCAGACGGGACGCTGAGGCATTCAAGGCTAGAGTTTAGTAAATGTTAAAAAATATAAAACAAACAACTTGTGCAGTTACTAACTGCTGATATCTGCTTCTGTACACGCAGCTTGCTTGCTCTGCTAAACTCTTGAATGACCCCTGTCCTATATAAGCAACCCTCCCCCTGAGCTCGGGGCTGCAGTTCTCCTCTGTGTAGGTTGGCTGCAGTCCCTGCGCAGGTAATAAAGCTCCTAATATTCAAAATTACTGGATGTCTGAGTGAGGATGACTCTCCTGGGTTACAACAATTAACCCCTTATCTTTCTATTTTTCTTTGGGTTTCTCAAGGCCCTTAGTTTACAAAGAAGGTCTGCTAGGGTGTGTACGTGTAGTAATTGAGGATCAGAATGGAGTTATTACATCCCCTTTGTGGTGACATTTTTAAGATTTCCCCTAATATTCCATTTCTAAGTTCCCAGTTCTATTGGGGTCTAGATTTATAAAGATTCCCCTGTACAGTTACAATAAAAAATATTAGAGTCCTGACAGTCTTCGCGGAGAGTCGCCGTGGTTTCCTGCTTCAACAGTGCTTGGATGGAACCCGGCGCTCGACCCATCCCCCCCAGCCACCTGACCGCCTTCGGCCACCTCCTCACTGCGCTTCGGACATCCCCCAAGGCCCCGCTCCAGCACCGCGCAGCCGCCCCTCCTTAGCCGCCCGCCATGACGTCCACCGCGTCCACCTCGCAGGTGCCCCAGAACTACCACCAGGACTCGGAGGCCGCCGTCAACCCCAGATCAACCTGGAGCTCTAAACTTCCTATGTCTACCTGTCCATGTCTTACTACTTTGACCGCGATGATGTGGCTTTGAAGAACTTTGCCAAATATTTTCTTCACCAATCTCATGAAGAGAGGGAACATGCTGAGAAACTGATGAAGCTGCAGAACCAACGAGGTGGCCGAATCTTCCTCCAGGATGTCAGGAAACCAGACTGTGACGACTGGGAGAGTGGGCTGAATGCGATGGAGCATGCACTGCACTTGGAAAAAAATGTGAATCAGTCACTACTGGACTTGCACAAACTGGCCACTGACAAAAATGACCCTCACTTGTGTGACTTCCTTGAAACTCACTACCTGAATGAGCAGGTGAAATCCATCAAAGAACTGGGTGACCACGTAAACAACTTGTGCAGAATGGGGGCCCCTGAAGCTGGCCTGGCAGAGTATCTCTTTGACAAGCACACCCTGGGAGACAGTGACGAGAGCTAAGCCTTAGGCTGGCTTCCCATAGCCAGGGGGGTGACTTCCCTGGTCACCAAAGCAGTACGTGCATGTTGGAGTTACCTTTACCTTTTCTATAACTTGTACCAAATCATCCACTTACATCTTTTCACTTGTACCATTCCTTCAAATAAAGTAATTTGGTACCCCCCCCCCAAAAAAAATATTAGAGTCCTGATAAATGCAAGAGTCTCGTTTTTAAAGATCTGGAGAGGCCTGCAGTGTCTATTCCGCCATTGACCTTGACAGCCATTGGTGCGGGCAGGATGACAGTGTATGGTCCCTTCCAGGCTAGAGTTAGTCCCTGGGCGGTGAATTTCTTTACCTATACTGAATCCCTGAGCTGGAAAGGGTGCACAGGGTTTGAGGTGGGCACAGGCAGGGCATCACAGATTTGTTTATGGATGGCCTTCTGGGCAGACTGCAGAGCCTGTAAGAACTGTAAGAGGGTGAGGGGGAGCAGAGTGGTCCAGTTTTCACCGGTTTCTAAAGTAAATTTGGTTAAGGTTTCCTTTAAGGTCCTGTTCATGCGCTCTACCTGCCTGGAACTCTTTGCGTGGTAAGCACAATGGAGCTTCTAATTTATATTTAACCCCTTAGAGATATCCTGTGATATTTTTGCTATCAAGGTGGAGCCATTGTCTGATCTAAGGGTCAGGAGTAGCCTAAATCTGTTTTTCCCTTTATTATATCCCAGACTGTTATTCTATTACTAGGGGCAAGCTCTCCCCTCTCAGTGTCCTAGCTTCTTCCCTTCCTGAGTATTCCTCCACTGTCCTGTCTTCCTGTAATATGTATGTCCCTTTCTTTTATCCTTCCTTATCTTTTTATTACCTCTGTATAATCTTTCTCTTTTTATTTCTTCCCTGTCTATAATCCTTCTTCAGCTTGCTGATAGACCCTCTACGACTTATATAATCCTTCTTCAATTTACACAGACCCTCTGCGACTTTCTTAGTCCCCCTGACGTGAACCTGAGAGCTTGTTTAATCTATATATTGTCTGCACATCCCCTAGCTTTTCTCCTCCTCTCCCTTACTTAGACCTACACATCCCTGCTTCCCTCTGCCTTCTCCTATGCCCTGTGACCTTACTGGAGTTCAGTAAGCTTGGTGCAACCTAACTGGGTAGTCTGGTGCAGCTGGTTGACCAAAGTCCGACCTAGAGCCTCTGGGACTAACAACCTCCCATCTGACAGTATCTACCATCCGTTGCTTTTCTTCGTGGCTTGTTTCTGCTTGGCTAAGTTATTTTCTGACCCAATGTAAGTAGGAGTCAGAGGCAAACTTGGGTTTGGCAAGGTGACTGATATCTGGAGAGGTCCCCACTGGTTTTAGGGCCATCTGTCGAGCTTCCTTATTTGCACCACGGTTTCCCCTTGTCTCATCAGAGAGCCTGGATTAGGGCTATGAGTTCAGCCCCTTGGGCTGAAGTTCCTCTGTTTAATGACTGAGACCAAATAATACGGTCCAGAGTTACTATTGCTGCCCTGGCATACCTTATATCTTCCTGGACATAGCTGCTCCCGTCCGTGAACAATACCTCATCTGATGATGGCAGTGGGTCATCCTTGAGGTCTGGGCAGCCGTCTGCAGTGCCGATTTCCCCCAGGCCATCCTGCAGAGGTTTCTCCGGGTCATCATCTGGAGGCAGGCTGGCAGGATTGATGGCAATATCCTGGGGAACTTGATGCGAGGGCTGGCCTGGAGTGGCAGTGGCCAGCAATTGAATGATCTCTGGAGGAGATCACGTTCGAGTAGGGAATATGGGCATTCCGGCAGGAACAGAAACAAATGAGTCACAGTATTTTTCCCAAGGTCTATAGTCCTCTTTGAAGTCTAGGGGTAGGTTAGGGTCCCATTGGCTCGGTCAGGACTGAGTCTGCTGCACCAGTATCTACCAGGAAACGAACTAGTTTGTCCCCTATTGTCTTGTATTATTCTGGGCTCCAGAGGGCTCAGCTGGAAGGAACCCTAGCCCTGTCATTTTCCTAAATTAAAGACGGCTTTTCATTTTGTTCCTCTACTTCGCCCTTGTGTTTTCTATTCCTAATCGGGACCTAGGCCTGCTATCCTGACCCTTCCTCATGTTTCCCTTCCTAGGGTGACCCTATTCCGTGTGCCCTGTTTCCCTTAAGTCTGCTACTACTACCTTTGTTAATTCAGCCAATTGGGCCAATAGGCCTAACAGAAGAACACGGTGAAAAGTGTCTAAGGAAGCCCTTCCCCCAACAGTATTTGGGTCCTACCACAGTCAGAGGAATGGGAACATTTCCCCTGACCCCAGGTTTACAAAAGGATGCAGGAAAAGGGAGCAACATACTAACACATATGTTTATGCGGGGCAGAGTGTTTTTTTAACTCTCTAAGAGCACTTTGCACCCATGCCTGGGATCCCTATATTTAATTCCCTAAAGTTCAGAGAAGCTTGTTGGAAACTAGCTGCTACCAAACCCACTGCAGAGGAGCATCCCAGGCTGGTATGGAAAGAATATGCCCCTTTCTGCAGCTGGACTGGGCTGGCACTTCAATGGTTAAACAGTTTGCCTCTGAGAATGTTAATAAGCCTTGCAGAGAGGCATTGAGACCTCACTACAAAGAAGCCAGTACATCCAAATACATCTATATCTATTTAGACATTGGGTTAGATCATTAACAGATCCAAATTTATCTTCTAGCTTTTCTGTAATAAGAACCCAAAGTAGGCAAACTCAGGTTAATTAACATTTTAGTATATCCTCAAGAGGGGTTCTGAAGGATTAGATAGAATTTCCTTGGGGGCTGGGAGGAGTTAACTGTCCTTCAGGGCAGGCTGAGGCATTATTAACAAAACCATTTTTCCTTTCATTTGAACCTCTGGATACTGACATTTCGTAATATAATTGGGTGTCAGTAGTTATATCAATCCAAATATCAATATATGGCATTTGTTCCAGGTGACCAAGGCTTCTGTATATTTTTTTGATGGACTATAAAAGCCAATTGCAAATTGAAACTACCTTCGGGTGGCCAATTAACCCCTTAGGCAGGCTACTCAAGTTCACAGAGTGTTCTCAGGAAACCAGGATCGCAGGCTTTTTCATAGTCACAGGAGCGCTTAAAGCAATCAGAAAAGTTAGCAAGCACACATTCCAGGGGAGTCTGGGGGAAGAATTTCCTTGTCTCATCCTACTGAAAGCAAAACAGTTAGAGCAGCAGAGAACACGGAACACAAATAGACACAACCGCGGTCAAGACACAAAATAATTTCAGAACAGACGCACCCAAAAGTGCCAGATTAAAACCGACTGGTACCAATTTCAGAACAGACGCACCCGAAAGTGCCAGATGGAAACCGACTGGTTTCCCAGGTCAGGAGTCGGAGTCCCAACCCTGAGGGGGAAGTGTGGTTAAGCAGCGTCCCGCCCACAACAATCCCAGATCGCTCCAGAGCTACCGAAACAGACGGAAGGGGAAATCCCTTACCCAGATCCTCGAGGCCGTAGTCCTAATCCGAATTAACCGAATCGAAAGCCAGAACAAATGTAGGTGCGGAGGGTGAGGAGGCAGCCCTCCGCATAGTCTGAGGAGGTCGACCCCACAGAAAAGGGGACCTCGCGGTTGATTTCGCTGGGGCCTCCAAATGTTGTAACCCAGGAGAGTCATCCTCACTCAGACATCAAGTAATTTTGAATATTAGGAGCTTTATTAGCTGCACAGGGACTGCAGCCAACCTACACAGAGGAGAACTGCAGCCCCGAGCTCAGGGGGAGGTTGCTTATATAGGACAGGGGTTACCCAAGAGTTTAGCAGAGCAAGCAAGCTACGTGTACAGAAGCAGATATCAGCAGTTAGTAACTGCACAAGTTGTTTATTTTATATTTCTTAACATTTACTAGACCCCAGCCTTGAATGCCTCATTGTCCCATCTGGCATCTCCTGATTAGTTAAGCTCATGGTCATGGCTGATGCATACCTTCCTCTTCAAGATTTTCTGCAAAAACAACTCGGGTTTAAGGAACCCAGGAGAGGTTCCTTCTTCTAGCAGATGGAGAATTACTGGGTTATAACACCAAATGAAAGAAGAGAATAAAACCCCAAGAAAAGAACTAAGCGAAATGGAGATAAGCAACCTAACAGATGCTGAGTTCAAAATACTGCTTATAAGGATGCTCAATGAACTCAGTGAGAACCTCAGTGAACTTAGTGAGGGCCTCAAGAGCATAAAAAAGGGCCAGTCAGAAATGATGGATGCACAGTCAGAAATGAAGGAGGCATTGACTGAAATAAAGAATAATTTACACAGATTCAATAGTAGAGTACGTAAATCCAAGAAGCAAACCATCGATTTGGAATATAAGGAAGCAAAAAACGCCCAATCAGAACAGCAAAAAGAAAAACGAATCCAAAAAAATGAGGATAGTGTAAGGAGCCTCTGGGACAACTTCAAGCGTGCCAACATTCGCATCTTGGGGGTGCCAGAAGGAGAAGAGAGAGAGCAAGAAATTGAAAACCTGTTTGAAACAATAATGGCAAAAAACTTTCCTAACTTGGTGAAGGAAGCAGACATCCAAGTCCAGGAAACACAGAGAGTCCCAAACAAGATGAACCCCAAGAGGCCCACACCAAGACACATCATCATCAAAATGCAAAAGGTTCAAGACAAAGAGAATCTTAAAAGCAGCAAGAGAAAGGCAGCTAGTCACCTACAAGGGAGTTCCCATAAGGCTGTCAGCTGATTTCTCAAAAGAAACTTTGCAGGCCAGCAGGGAGTGGCAAGAAATATTCAGAGTGATGAAAAGCAAGAACCTACAACCAAGATTACTCTATTCTGCAAAGCTGTCATTTAGAATCGATGGCCATATAAAGACTTTCCCAGACAAGAAAAAGTTAAAGGAGTTCATCACCACCAAACAATTATTATATGAAAGGATGAAGGGTCTTTTTGAAGAAAAAGATAAAATATATGAACAAACAAAATGGCAATGAATACATATCTATCAACAATGGAATCTACAAACAAAATGCACAGGTAGAACAGAAACATTCTCATAGATACAGAGAACATTTTGTTGGTT